CCACTGCTAGCAGATATTGTCTTTTTTGGGCTTTCCCTTCTAGGCTTCCCCCTCAAGGTTTTTTACACGTCTACTAGGGAGAGGTTTCACACCCTTGTAAGAAATGTTTCATTCCCTCTCCAACCAATATGAGATCTCACAATCTACCCCCCTTGAGGGCCCAGCGTCCTAGATGACACAGCGCCCAGATATTTGGCTCTGATACCATTGTGACAGCTTAAGCCCACCGCTAGCAGATATTGTCCTTTTTGGACTTTCCCTTCTAGGCTTCCCCTCAAGTTTTTAACACGTCTACTAGGGAGAGGTTTCACACCCTTATAAGAAATGTTTCGTTCCCCTCTCCAACTGACGTGGGATCACACAAATAGGTTTATGCTAATGGACAACAAAAGTATAAGATTTTTGGTGAATAGCATGATTGACAATCTTAATTTTCAGAATGTGTTCCTAAGACCTTTCAGAAATTTGGAAGAAACCTCAGCAATGTTGCTATTAGCTAATATTGTACAAACTACGAAATCTTCTATCACATCAAAAGAAAGACTAGAAATCAAAGAATCAGAAATCCCTGGAAACAGATTTTGGAACAGTTCATAATTATAACAAGGGAAAGCAATAAGGCACTTACACCAATAAGAAAGTGCAACCACATAGGCCCTTTCACTGATCTCTGGACAACCGGCATCACTGCAATGGCATTAAAAAAATATGAGCTATCACTTGATACAAGAAAACGACGAACATAACAACTCGTATTGTATTTGTTGGAATTGTCGAAAGGCGAGGGGTATATTACCATGATTAAATCCATAAAAAGCACTGGCAGTACCACCAACAGCAGAGCCAATCTAAGAGATGTACAAAACATTCCAACAGGAAAGCAAACAAGATTACGACAAAGTTACAATTTTCTAAATGATAGAAAACGATGAGTTCGTGGTGATGTTTGAAAAAAGAATAATACCATAGAGAAACTATCCCTAATAAGAGGAGGAATTGTCCAAGCACTGGTTTCCTGCAATATGCATACAGAAATACAGATTAAAGCGAGACTCGTGTGCAGTTCAAGAAAATATAAGTAAATTTAGAATGAAGGCACAAGACCATATCCTTCGAGAGAGGACCCGCACAGTGTTGACATCTTATATTACTCTTATTAATGAGGTTGCTATCGCCTTTTCCTTGTTGCTTGCTTTCACTATCTCCCTGATAACACAGTTATTCCATATTATAAATTATGAGAAAGAAGTTAACCTGAGCTTATCTCATTTAGTTAAGGTATTATGTATCTATTCAGGAAATTGAAAATAACGAAGTATAGTCAAGGTCAAATTCTTACTTCTCATCTACTATGCATTAATTTTCATTCCAGTTTTATATTCATCAATAATTAATGGCTCAATGTTACTTCACTAATCCACCTATCTACATTCTTTTCTCCCCAACACTAGATTTCTTTTATAGAACAACAGTTAAAAGCATCTTTGCTTCTATATATGAAGTTGTAAGTTTGAATCTCCATTTTCACATGTAATGTAATACTCTAAAAGAAAACTTGAAAATTGAATTACTTTTATTTGGCAATGATCATAGTATGTAACAGCCCAAGCCCACCGTTAGTAGATATTATCCGCTTTGGCCCGTTACGTATCGCCGTTAGCCTCACAGTTTTAAAACGCGTCTGCTAGGGAGAGGTTTCACACCCTTATAAAGAATTCTTTGTTCCCCTCTCCAACTAATGTGGGATCTCACAATCTACCCCCCTTCGAGGCCTAGTGTCATCGCTGGCACGCCGCCCGATGTCTAGCTCTGATACCATTTGGTAATAGCCCAAGCTCACCGCTAGCAGATATTTTCTGCTTTTGCTCGTTACGTATCGCCGTCGGCCTCATGGTTTTAAAAAGCGTCTGTTAGGGAGAGGTTTCCACACCCTTATAAAGAACGTTTCATTCCTCTCTCCAACCGATGTGAGATCTCGTATAGTATCTCTCCACAATATTATGTTTAACATCTAACATCGGAAAGAACGAGTACAAATTTTTTAAGACTTTCAACACCTTATTTGGCTTCATAATCACACACTCTCTCTATCTCATTTGCCCACCATTTATACCTAAGGGCTCAACATTAATCTCTAATGTTCCAACACATAGCTCTTCACCTCCCAACACATTGGCCCTTAATTATTTATACCAAGTGTAACGGCCCAAGCCCACCGCTAGCAGATATTGTCCTCTTTGAGCTTTTTCTTCAGACTTCCCCTCAAGGTTTTTAAAACGCGTCTACTAAGAAGAGGTTTCCACACCTTATAAAGAATGTTTCGTTCTCCTCCCCAACCGATATGGAATCCCACAATTCAAACCTTTCCAAATTAGCCCTTGCCCTTTTCTACCAAAAACCATGACATTTAGCTCAATACCTCACTCACAACGCACTGACCCTTGACCATTTATACTCAAAACCCTAATACTCACCCTTATAGATTCAAACATGTCAATCCCCAATCCTGTTTACCAGGCGCCCTACTACCTACCTTAACAAGTCTTACTTCCTTAGCCTTTAATACATTAACAACACTATCACAGTTTTCTCGTAAACAGAAATGAAGCATGAGCGTACATGGCATGAACTTTTACAAACATTCGAAGCACCATGCTTTTAACTCAATCTCACAAATCTTTAGCATGCTAACGCATCAAGTCTATATTCAAATTAGTATAAGGGGTCAATAAATCATATAAAAACATATCACAAACATGATATTCCAAGATTAAAACTCATTAATAATAGTTTAATAACGAATCTTTACCACCTGAATCGCTTAGATTCTTACCAAAAACATTGCCACCAACTTGGGATCTTGGTGGTTCATGACACAAGGGGAGCTAGCGCACCAGGTAGTCACTGTAGGTCTCAATCACCGCATAAAGGTCTTGCAGTTACAGATCTTGCCGATGCAGCGAAGTCGCAACCCAGAAGTTGTCGTCGTGAGTGTGTCACCGTCGAGCGGTGCTGGCTGCCGCGGGCGGTGTCGCGAGGGAGATATATAGCCGCCGCAAGGTGTCGCTCAATATTTCTAGAAGCGTATTAAAAAAATATATTAAAATAGAAATAAGACTTTTTCTGGTTTTAGTTTTTTATTTATTTTATTTGAAGATAATGCAAATTGCAATATATACATACATACATATACATACATATATATATATATATATATATTTTTTTTTAATTTTTTTTTTTAATAATAACACCAGTATAAATAAAATATCATTGAGAATTATAATTAAATTGATCTAAAAAATTCTAAAAATTCTGTTAAACTCAATATAGCATTATAGTTATTATAGGGATGAAATAATTATTACCAATTTTAAAATATATCCATCAACTTTTTTTTTTTAAATATTGTTTTAAAATTTTTGTAGATATTTTTATATAATCCAGCTTGGAATGATTTAATACAATTTTTAAAATTATTAAAGTGTAAATTTGCAACACTAGTTCTAAGTTACTGTGATGTTTATCGATATTTTAAAATGCAATTTTATAAAATTGAAATTGTAACAAAAAAGTCAACGGGTCGAGTTTGACCCATTTGTCGACCTGCTACATAACTTAGTTTTGGTCAAAATATTTGTTGTCACATGTCGTAATATATGGATGGCTAAAATAACTGGAAGTGAGTATGATGCACGTTATGATCATGAGATTATATATTAGAACTGTGATGTTTTATGATGCATGTATGTATGTAAACCATGTCATGATACGATGACGAGATACTAGTCAAATGATCGATATTGATTATATGCTATCAATAAGAGTAACAATAATATTTTTATGAAGAAAATGGTTAAAACGATTACATCATGAGTTATACTGCACATCGTTATCAGATAAAAACTTCATGCATATGTATGTTCACGAGAAATATTTTTTAGAAAACTTGATGTATGGTCATGAGGGAGAGTAGCGATATGGCTTCTCGGTATTTTCACGCGATATGGTCACAACTATAATTTTGAAAACTTGGCTATACTACCATGAGGGAGAGTGACAATATGTACTGTGAGATCCTACCTCAGTTGTAGAGAAGAATGAAGTATTCCTTATCAGGGTGTGGAAATCTCTCCCTAATAGACACGTTTTAAAACCTTAAGAGAAAGCTCAAAGAGGACAATATTTATTAACGTGGGTTTGGGCTGTTACATATGGTATCAAAGCGGGACACCGAGTAATGTGTCAGTGTGAGGACGTTGGCCCCCAAGGTGGTGGATTGTAAGATCCCACATCGGTTAGAGAGGGAACGAAACATTCCTTGTATGGGTGTGAAAATCTCTTCCTAATAGACGCAAAAGATAGATTGTGAAATCCCACATCGGTTGGAGAGGATAACAAACCATTGAGTGTGAAAATATGTCTGTGGTAGACATATTTTAAAACCTTTTTGGCTCTATATTTAGAGCATCTTTTAGGCACCCTTCGATGTTTTTGTGGCGATATAAGGGGAAATGACGAAATGACCCCTTATACTTTAGTGACTACATGGTTATAATTTGACGGTATGACTAATAGATGAGAGTTACGAACGGAAAGTCTCAACAAATAACATTCTTATCTGTGTTTGCATTTTTTCAACTACAATCGTAAGATCACTTACTCATATTTTATAGTAATCCACAATTTTTAAGAATAAAAGCAAACAAGATTGTCAGTGGCATTAGTCGTAAAGCCATAGGATTCGATTATGTTTAGCTATCATCGGTTCTTCTCTCCATTATATACTTTTTTTTTTTTTTTTTTTTTTTTTTTTTTTTTTTGGCTAAAGAATGTGTTTATTAACGGTTGTAAGTGTCGTTTTTTTCGAGATCTAGAATCAAATGTTTGAATGATATAATGTCGCCTGTAAAAAAATCATTTTGAAAATTATCTTTACCTTTTTCGAACAAAGGTCATATCATGCACATAGTAGGTCGAAGTGAGCTCAATATGGGGTTTAGAATCATTAGACTACCAGCAGTCAAATGGATTTGGACTTTTCTTCCTCTCTTTAGCTCTACTTATCTCTGTCTCTCTCTCAATTTTATGCCGTTCTTCCAGCACTTCTCCTTCAATTTTGGTTGCTAGATGATGCAATTCACGAAATCGCAAAGCACGACCGTTGAAATCGCCGATCCCAAGCTTAGAGACTTGAATTCCATGTTTTTCCTCCTTCGGTGTGCCCTCTTCGACCACTATACATGCAAATCAGGTTAGGTTTGTACTGATTCTTTTCATTTTGTTTCCGATTATTTCTTCACCAAATGAACTGGGTGTGATTAATTGCGAATCAGCGATAAACCCCATCTTCGTTTTGGGAATTTAGGGCAAATCAGTTGGGTTTTTTTTTCTTTTTTTTCTTTGGATGTTTGTTCGAACATTTTTGGATTTTGTGTTTCATTTCTGTACGGATTCAGGAAATTGAGATGTCGTAAGTTAATATTGTACAGTTTGAAGATTGGGCTGATCTGTTCGTTGGTTTTGATTTGCGAAAGAACATCATCTTGATAGAGAAACGAACCGGCTTCAGCATTCGTTGGCTACTATCAATTTGCTCAATTTGTGGTGTTTTCTGCTGGACTTAGAATTCTCTGTTTATTTTGAACTGTGTGCCTGTGTTGTAACGATCATCGTTTTGATAGAGAAGCAGGGCGGCTTCAGAATTTTCTCAATTTTTGCTACTACGCATTTGTGGTTTAAAGTTTGATAGAGTTCATATGTCGACTGAAGTTTGTGGATCGAGCTTGCTCCTTTCTCTGCCAGATGATGTACTTTCTACCGTGTCGTGGTCCCTTTCTCCAAGGGACTTGTGTAATTTAAGCCTATGCTGTCGGGATCTGCATGATTCAGTAGCATCTGAAAAGATCTGGCTCACGCAATGTGAGATGGTTGGAATTTTGTCTGCCAAAGACCTTATGGATTGGCGAACAGGTATGGCGTCCTATAAGGCGCTTTGCCGATTTCTCAGCAGCATTGAGCCGTTGATGGGAATATGGGTTCATCAGAATCCAGAGCTTGGTAATGTAGTCTATGTGATGCCAGGTTTTGTTTCGGTTGTTGGTTGTCGAATTATCCCTCAAGAACTTGGTCCATTAGGCATTGAAGATGGGCCAATTCTTTGGGCACCCGTTTTTGAAATCCTGGGTGATGCTGATGGCACCCCATCGTTTTTTCTACATGGAAAGAAGGAGGGAATTGACTATTTTTATCCGGGTTTGGTGAAGGCTGTTGACAAGAGTTGCAATGTGCTTCTTCTCGAGGTTGAGACTAAATCGCATAAGAATGGGTATAATAATTTGTCGCATAGTAAGAGCTTCGTCAACCATTCAGATCAGGAGGCTAGAAAGGTTTGTAAGTCTAACAGTGACCTTTCTAGATCCCGGAAGGTTTTTGGAGAGCCTGAGGCGAAAGTGTCATTTGACCAGTTGGCTTTTTGTGATAGAAGACAGTTGCTTGAAACCGTAATGAATCAAGTTCGTGTCAAGGTGTCCAGTCGAGTTGCTGGGCCACTATTTCCCAGGTTAAGAGATGAAGTGAACTTCGAGGAAGATATGGCGGTGTTGTCAGAAAGGAGATCAGTACTTATGCAGCATTGTAAAGTTGGTGGAAGTCAATTGTCTGGGACAGGTAGTTCTGAACTGTTACCAGATCCTACTCAGTTGGAACTAAGTAAGCTCAAAAAGTCTGTTGATGGTTCAAGTAGTCTTCAAAAGTCAATTAATAGGGACGATGATCAGGTAAAATGTGGGAAGAAGAAAACTCTTGGCAGGTATTTGAGGCAAAGCCTAAATCAAATACTGGAAAAGTCTGGCTTTATCAATGATAGCAAGGGAATGTTGAAAAATAACTGTTCATGTAGTGTGATGAATAAATATGTGAAACTTGAAGAGTTTCTTCAATCGAGCGATACAATTGGGTTGGCATTGCATGCATCAACCAAGAAGCTATCTTCTTACCGGGGATGGCCTAATATGCATGAGAATCGGTTTGCACTGTATAAATTGCCAATGCGAGTGCCAACTGCTGAGCAAGAGTATGCTGGTTTATGGGGAGGGACATTCGGCTGGCCCCCGGGGAAGCCTACAGAAGACAAGCCTGGAAAAGCCCTTTTCTTCCTTTTGCTTTCGTATGAGAAATCCCAGGGACAAGTGTTTCTCATTGCGACAAAAATATTGGAAGGCACTCACTATGTTTTACATCCTAATGGTTCTGCAATGTTCAGAGTGAATATTAATGAACCTTCGGCAGATCCGTTTCCTTGGGAGTCCGATGGGGATCTATTTCCTGTGAATATTCAGCATACATTTTCGGGAGAGGGGATTGCCAATGGGTATGGCTTTAGATACCCTGGTTCGAAGCCCGGTTCTCTCTATGTATTTCAGAATGGTCAACTGGCCTTCATTTGGAAGGAGTCTAAATCTGTCCTAACCTTGCAGAGATTGAACTTACAAGAGCTTCTGAAAAAAGGTGAAAGAGTACCTCCTCTACAACCAACTGACAACTTCTCCTATCTAACCAAGTCATACTCGAATGTCTTCAATGGCTTCCCGAACACTTCGACTAGTTTCTCCTTGCCAAGGTTTGCATTGTTATGGCTTCATTTAATTTGTTTCATTCTTTCCATCTGCAACCCAGTTACCCTACTAATAGCCTGATGTTATAAACATTTTTTTTTTACATTTTAACTGCATGTAGTTCATAGGGTCAAAAACTTGCTTCTCTGTTCTCCAGATTTTCGTATCAGCCACTTGTTAAACTGGTAGTTGATAAAGTTGAGTAAGCTGAAACCAATTGCTGGGTTAGTTCGACAAATATGAAGGAAATTGAAGTTTCAGGACAAACATGTTCTAGTTCAGTTTTGTGCTGGTGTTGCTGTTACGGCCGGCCCAAGTCCACCACTAGCAGATATTACCCTCTTTGGACTTTACCTTTTGGGCTTCCCCTCAAGGTTTTTAAAATGTGTCTACTAGGGAGATGTTTCCATATACTTGTAAATGGTGTTTCGTTCTCATTCCCAACCGATGTGAGATCTCATAATCTACCCCACCTTTGAGGCCCAACGTCCTCGCTGGCACCCGTTCCCATCTTCAATCAATGTGGGACCCCCCAATCCACTCCCCTTCGAGGACTAGCGTCCTTGCTGGCACACTGCCTCGTGTCCACCCCCCTTCAGGGCTCAACCTCCTCGCTGGCACATCGCCTGGTGTCTGGCTCTGACCATTTGTAACGGCTCAAGTCTACCGCTAGTAGATATTGTCCTCTTTGGGCCTTCCCTTTCTGGCTTCTCCTCAAGGTTTTTAAAATGCATCTGATAGAGAGAGGTTTCCATACCGTTATAAAGGGTGTTTCGTTTTCCTCCCCAACCGTTGTGGGATCTCAAAGCCGCATATCAAAGTTTTACCTTGGACATGAATAGGAAAATGTCAAGTTAATATGTCAGAATATACTTGATGCGATGCTAGCAAATGTCTTGTTATATTATGACTCCTGTTTGCTTCCGATATTTCTTTCGAACTCAAGTACAATAGTTGCTCTATTGGTTCAACTGCACAGCCAGACGAGCTCAACCAAATTTTATGTCAATTGCGTTCTGAATCTTTACATAGGAGAGGGCATGGAGGATGATCTCTTATATATCCTGCTGTCTGAATAGTGCATCATTGTTGATTGTTGAAACTCTTGCCGTATCAATTATACATTTGTTGTAAAACTAAAGCCTCTTGTTTGTATTGCACAGAGAAACGTGTTCATAGAAAATTCATGGGGTAAAACATTTGTAGAAGAATATTTTTATGGTTGTTGCAAATGAAGGTTCGAGCTCCATATTCGTTGCATCGGGAGCGGTTCACGATGCTTACAACTTCAGAGATCCTTCAACTCAGGGGAGGAGGTATTTTATTGTACTACTATTACTATGCCAATTTTACAGAACTTTGATTCTGAAATCTTGCTTGTGGTATCTTATTTCTGGTTAAAACAAGAAAAAGAAAAATATTGTGTATTCATATATGGATTGCTATGCTTTTTTTCTTCTTCTTATACTTGGGAAAAGGCAGATGCATTGAATCCAAATAAAGTTTTACATATCCATTTTTCCTTTTAAAACTTTTTTGATTCTCTTTGACCTGCCTTTGTTTAGAGAGAAAGAGAGAGAGTCAGAGGTCTGTTCAATGATCAAGTTTGAAATGCATCACTGTCAATTGTGCTGTTCTTAGATGCTGAAATCTTTCTTTAAATTTTTACTTGATGAGTTTTATAGAGGTGTGCTAATAACCGATAAAACTAAGGAACTGATTCTAACTGGGTCGTTCTGTTCGATTATTTTCGACCATTCTGTTTCTTTTCATGGTTAATTTTTTTTCTTAAAGCGGTTCGGTTTGGTTCACGGTTGAATAGATAATAACTAAAAAGTATTTAGAAGCCCCATCCCACCTTTAAAAGTTAAAATGTGACAATTCACTCGGGTATAAAATGAAAATCAACCCCAATATGCTAAAAACTCGTCTTCCACAGATGTTTGAAGCGTATTAGGGTTGATTTTCATTTTATACGTGAGTGAATTGTTATAAATATAACACCGGACTTTTATACGTAACATAAGTGAGTTGTGTGCTTTAGTTTTGATATGTATAGATATATTTATACTTATACATAAAAGTGAGGCAACTCGAGGATGAAGAGTGAGAATGTAATCCCTGTGCTTGCTTCGTTTAGCTAACGAGAAGATATCTATTCCAACTTAACCTTTATGAAATCTAGTCTCATTAAGCGGTGAACTAGATTCTAGGCTAAGTTGAATTTTAATAGTTTCATTATTGTTTGTCACATTACCATTCATATTCTCTTATTCTCTAAATTCTTCTCAACCTCTCGAGAGATTGATACTTGGAATACTTCAACGAATTATTTAAAGGTGAAAGAGTCTATTCATATCGTTACCCGATGACCGGCTTCTCCATCCCGCTCGTCGCTCGTCACTATCATATCACAACTTTGCTGTTACTTTAAAATCATTTAAAAAATGGTTAAGATTTAAAACTCAACAAAATACTATTTTATTGAGGATATATATGCAAATATTTATATGATTAATAGAAAAAAGAACGTGTAATCTTTGTTTAATGAGACATCATAACGGAATCAAAAAGTCGTACCTAACAATTTAGAAAACGAAAGAAATTATATATCTAACGTAGTCTTTGTTCAATGAGACATCATAACGGAATCAAAAAGCCGTACAAGTGCATGCATATCTAACAATTTAGAAAACGAAAGAATTTATATCATTCTCTCACTTAAAATGATAATCACCTAATAAAAATTAAATTAAATCACCTAATTATACTAACATCGCCGCCGCTCGTGGTTTACAGGCACCTCCCCAATCCCGTCGTTCTTACGGTTTTGGTTAAAACCTCTCTTCCACAACCAAGCGAAGCCGCGGAGATGGCGGGTGGCAGGTCGCCGTCCGTTGTGAACCGTGGTTTCCTTCTTCAACGAATTAAGTCTTGCCGCCACAAGTGTCCCACCGTCGACGACATGGTCGACCATCTCCAGTCCACTTACAGGGACTACCGAGGACTCAAGAAGTCACCTTTCACTTCAATCGTCCAACAAACCCTCGTTTCGCAGCTCAAAAAGAATCCTAAATCCACTCCTTCTACTTCTACGCCCAGCAAAATCAAACGCCAATTTCAAGATTCTGAAGACGAAGATGCCGATTGCAGTACCATTGAAAAGAAGCGGTACAAGAGAGTTGACCTCGGCGAACAGAGGTTGCAGAATGAATTGCCTTCGTCTTCGACTTCTTCTGATTCTGGTAATAGTGGCGATGGAGCGGTGGCGACGTCGGAGGATGCTATATATGGGGAAAAAGTAGAGCCAGCGTTCGAATTGATGAAGTCGATGCTCCAAACATCTTATGCGGAGTCGAATAAGTCGAAGAATGAGCATTTGGAGAAGAGTGTAGAGCTGGAAGTTGCCGTAGATAACAAGGTTGCTGAAAAAATTGGTGTGGAGAATGAAGGGAATGCAAGCAAGGGGATATTGAGAAAGGAGGGGCAGGGTTCTCATGGTGGGGCCGAAACGGAAACAGGGGAAGGGAAGGAGGAAGGGCCTAGGTTTAAGGATTTGGGAGGGATGAAGAGAGTGCTAGAGGAATTGAAGATGGAGGTGATTGTTCCGCTCTACCATCCGCAGCTGCCGATGTGGTTGGGCGTTCGGCCGATGGCCGGAATTTTACTTCATGGTCCCCCTGGTTGTGGGAAGACTAAATTGGCTCATGCCATAGCCAATGAAACTGGTGTGCCTTTCTATAAGATTTCGGCTCCCGAGATTGTTTCGGGCGTATCAGGTACATGTTCATATTGTAGAATACTCGAAACCGTGTGTTGAGTGGTAAAACCGTATGGCTATATAGAAATAAGGATTTGAATTTTGGTTATGAGATTGTATATGTATGCTTGCAATAGCAATATGTCATGCTATGGTTACTGTTAGAGTTGGCTGAGCTTCTCGTATGGTATTATCAATATAATAGTTGTTGGTGAATTGCTAGAATTGAAATCTATACCTCTTTTCCTATTTTTCAATGCTCCTAGGAAGAAGCTATTCTTATATTCGATTATTTCGAAACTTTCGTGTGGAACTTTTAGGTGCGTCTGAAGAAAATATCCGAGAGCTATTTTCGAAAGCCTATAGAACAGCACCATCAATTGTTTTTATTGACGAAATTGATGCAATTGCATCGAAGAGAGAAAATCTACAAAGGGAGATGGAGAGAAGGATTGTAACACAATTAATGACTTGCATGGATGGGTTCCACAAGCTTGTAGATTCTACTGATGCAAGTTCAAAGAAAGATAGTTCCAATGATAGACCAGGTTATGTTCTTGTAATTGGTGCAACCAATAGGCCAGATGCTGTTGATCCTGCATTAAGGAGGCCTGGTCGTTTTGATCGTGAGATCGTATTAGGTGTTCCAGATGAAAATGCGAGGGCTGAAATTCTCTCTGTTCTAACCAGCACCTTGAGACTCAAAGGTTCTTTCAATCTTCTGAAAATAGCTAGGGCAACTCCAGGTTTCGTTGGCGCTGATTTGACAGCATTGGCCAATAAGGCTGGTAATCTTGCCATGAAGAGAATAATTGATCAAAGAAAATTTGAGTTGTCTACTGATTTTGTTGATAAGGAACATATAGAAGATTGGTGGAAGCAACCTTGGTTGCCTGAAGAGATGGAAAAATTGGCTATAACTATGACCGACTTTGAGGTGATTAAATAGCATGCATTTTTATTAATTTTTTCAGATGAATGATATTGGCTAGTTTTGTTATTTACTCTTCTTTCTTGTGATATTCTAAAGGAAGCAATTCAAATGATACAACCTTCACTGAAAAGAGAAGGGTTTTCTGCAATTCCCAGTGTGAAGTGGGAAGATGTTGGAGGCTTAGAACAACTAAGAGCAGAGTTCGATCGCTATGTAGTTAGGCGTATAAAATATCCAGATGATTATGAGGTATCACTTTGGTTTAGGTTTTTCAAGCTTCATGTTCATTAGTTTTGTAAGCTTCATGGTTGAGAATTTCCATGGCTTGTTCTTACAGCATTTTATCATTTTTTTTTAAACCCAAATTCAATTTCTCTTAATTGTTCTTGATTCTAGGGCTTTGGTGTGGATCTAGAGACTGGATTTTTGTTATATGGTCCTCCAGGCTGTGGTAAAACACTAATTGCTAAAGCTGTTGCAAATGAGGCTGGAGCCAATTTCATTCACATTAAGGTTCGGTATTTAAGTGACTTAAAGCTTAAAAGTAGCTTATCCTATAGCATATGATTGGAAAAATCATAGGTTTTATGAAACCTTGTTATGGCTTGGATCTGAGCCAATTTCACTCACATTAAGGTTCGGTATTTAAGTGACTTAAAGCTTAAAAAGTAGCTTATCCTATAACATATTATTGGAAAAATCGTACGGTTTTATGCAACCGTGTGCTATGGCTCGAATCCGAGCCAATTCCATTCACATTAAGGCTCAGTCTTTAAGTGACCCAAAGCTTAAAAAGTAGCTTATCCTATAACATATGATCAGGAAAAGTCGTACGGTTTTATTAAACTGTGTGCTATGGCCCGAATCTGAGTCAATTTCATTCACATTAAGGTTTGGTATTTAAGTGGCTTAAAGCTTAAAAAGTAGCTTGTACTATAACATATTTTTCGATAATTTCATTGCTTTTTTTAAATTACCCTGGATTTATTTGTTGCACAGGGGCCTGAGTTACTAAATAAATATGTTGGAGAAAGTGAACTTGCAGTTCGGACACTATTTAGTCGGGCAAGGACGTGCTCGCCCTGCATTCTTTTCTTTGATGAAGTATGTGACTCGTGCATTACTATTCGCTAGTTATTGTTTTGGATGAATGATGATCATTTTTGTATTTATAACATGAGAGTTTGTACAAGGATTATATAATCTATGGTAGTAATTACTTTAGTTCATACTTCATTTTCAGCTATTCTTTTCTCTTCAAAGAAGGGAAAACAAAAAGATTTTATCAAATGCAAAGCATCAAGTACAAAATAGGTAACAAATAATAAACATCATAAACCGTGGGGATCATAAGTTTTTCTCGACTCGACACTGTGAAATTTACAAAAGCAACCCCAAAACATAGAAGCTCATAAACAGATTATCTCCAGGATCATTCTCTTTCTCTTGAATGGAGATGAATGAGTGGCTGGTTGATAGAAGAAGGTTGATTTGATATTATATGTACATTTTGTTTTGAATTGTTTGTAGGTGGATGCTTTAACAACAAAACGCGGTAAAGAAGGAGGATGGGTCGTGGAGCGACTATTGAACCAGGTTCGATAAAGTGCCATGAAATGAGTTGATTTTCTTGCGCTGTACCCTTTCTTTCCTTGTCATTTTTATTGATCACTGAGGTTAAATGGATCGACTTTTCATTTCTGCAGTTACTCATAGAGTTGGATGGAGCGGAACAACGACGCGGTGTCTTTGTTATTGGTGCTACAAATAGGTAGATCTTGTTTTTTTATATGCTTTCAAGTTCGTCGTTGTAATCTTGATACTCATAATAA